CTGTGTGAAATGTTGAACTTAAATGCATGGGATAGTCAAAGCATAAATGATTAAAGCCTAAATTCTGTGATATGTACTTATGAAAGGGAAAGGAGAAATAATATTTATATTGGTAGTCTTCTTCCTACTATTATTTTGTCCAATAATTAGTGCTAGGTTAAAAATTCAGTAAGTCACTCTTATCAGGTATATGTATTCATTAAATAGATATTTCTTAATGATAAGTAACAGGTTCCTCAAAATTTCAGAAGCCACAATAAATCCGTGATGAAGTAGAATTTAACCAATGATCCTTCCTGTAGTTTGTTTTCCAGAAAATGTCAAACTTACATCAGGTTGCTAAAATATATTTTATTTTCTTTCCTTCTATTTATTTGTTCTTGGCTATGCTGGATCTTCGCTGCTGTGTGGGCTTTTCTCTAGTTGTGGGTCGCAGGCATCTCATTGCAGTGGCTTCTCTTGTTGCAGAGCAAGGACTCTAGGGCACACGGGCTTCAGTAGTTGTGGCCGCCAAGCTCCAGAGCACAGGCTTAGTAGCTGTGGCATATGGGCTTAGTTGCCCTGGAGCACGTGGCATCTTCCCAGATCCTGCATTGAACCCTGCATGGTCTCTTGCAACATCTCCTGCATTGGTAGGTGGATTCTTTACCACTGAGCCACCAAGGAATCCCACATTCTATTTTCTAATTATAGACAAAGATAATCAAGTGGCCTCTCAATTATGTGGAAGTTCTCTGATGCTGCTGCTGCTCCTGCTAAGTCGCCTCAGTAGTGTCCAACTCTGTGCAACCCCATAGACGGCAGCCCACCAGGCTCCGCCGTCCCTGGGATTCTCCAGGCAAGGACAATACGGTGCAGTTATTCTTCATTCTGACATGGGAATTACGTTCATCTTCATTTATATATCCCCAGGGCTAGCATGTGCCTTTATAGTGTTTCTCGGTAAACATCTTCTGAACTGAGCTGAATTTGGAAACTGTGACAGGCATTGTTAATTGCCTTCTTATTATCCATTCTCTTTTTCTTATACACATAATTCTGATTTATTTGGGGCAGCAATGTAGTCAGTTAAAATATTCAATCTTTCAGCTTTTTCAGTGAGATGTAACTGTAAGTCACTCCCTGGGACTTCTTGGAAAGCTCTTTAAAAGGGAATAATCTCCAATGGTTTTTTTTGTCTGCCCCTTTGCCTTTCTCTGGTTTTCTTGCCTGAAATACAGATGTGATGTTTGGAGATGAAGCAGCTGTCCTATGATCATGAGGGTTAGTGACAAGCTATAGATGACAGTCCCTTAAACTAGAAGAAATCTTGGTTTTCAGTTTTTCTAAAGTAGCTGAAACAGCTTTGAACTGCATATCCTTGGCTCTCACATTCGTTAAATCACTGTGAGAGATTCCTACTAAATAGGCCTAATGGAGTAACAGACATTGATTTTTTTTTTTTTTTTTTAGCTATCCAGAGTACTTCTCAAAGTGGGGAGGAACTGACATTGCAAAATCTACTGAAGGGGTCTTTTAGGTTCCCTTTTCATTCTGAGATGCCCTCCCAAAAAGGAATTGCTCCTCCTTCACCTTGGTGAGTGTGGCTGCATAAAGAGCCACACTTACTACAAGGAATGTCACTCGCCTCTGATGTGTTAGAAAAAGTGAGGAACTTTAGCTCCTGAGAGGCCCATAACATAACAAATTGATTACTTGGAAGTCCTAAAATCATTGCTACAAATGTGGTGGTTATGAACCCAGCTGAGAGAAGTACGCCTGAAACTCTCAGGGTCCAACCAGAGTAGCATTAGAAAGTGCTTAGAATTTTGAAATGGCAACGAGGGGATTGGTGAAGTTAGACTAGAAAGGATGGATAACACAGAAACAAAATCTTAATATTGGAGGTCACCTTAATTGTCACCCAGTTAGATATCTCATAGAAGCAAAACCTGACTTCTACCACATTTTTAGGAGGTGTCACCAACCTCGCTTGACAACCTGCAGTGACTAAGAGTTGATGAATTCCTAAGGGGACCCATTCCACTGCTGAAAAGATTTAGTAACTAGAATGTCCTTCTTCACAGTGAACTTAATAGGGTTGTATTTAAGTATTATTACATATCACTTTGCTGTTTATATTTAAAGAGATTTCACACAATCACTTCTGATTTGGTAATCATAAAACCATGTGAATTACTTGAAATGATACTATTATCCCTGTTTGAGCATGTATAAACAAAGTGCAGAGAGGCTACCTAAGCTTGTACAAAGTATACTTCCTACATAAAGTAGTGGATTTGTATTTAAGACTAATGAGATCCAAGTCAAGATCTCTTTCAAGTTGTTAATTTGTCCATTCGGTGTTGATTTACTGAGCCCCCTACTATCTACTGGTCACTGTATTAAGTGCTGAGGATCTACTGGTGAATAGGACTCACACTCCTGATCTTCTTGCTGCTAATAATCTAGTAATTACTACCAAAAAACTCTACACTTAGCCTTTGATATAACACAATGCAGCAAGTATATCCTTCCTCCGCACATCAGTCATTCAATTGTCCATGACCTTCGTGTGTCTCTTATACAAACTAAATATCCAATTCTTTCAACAGCTCCTACCAGGCTAGGGATTTTGAAGTCATTTATCGCCCTATCACTTTCTTCTAGACACCCTCTATTTTGTCAGTCTCTCACATAAGGCCTAGACTCTTGAACTGACACCTCTGCTCCCAATATGGTCTTAGAGACCATGGCCTCAGGCAACTTGAAGATTGAATGCTATCTTGATTGAGTGCACCTTGAGGGTATCAATATCTATTTTGGTTTCCCATGGCACTGCCGACATATGTGCACATTGTGATTCACTAAAACCATCAGACAATCTTCCTTTGATGACCATCAAGTCAAATCTCTTCCATATTTTACTGAAGACTTTGATGTTCTACATTTAAATGTGGGACTTTAATGCATTCCATTAAATTTCACTTCATCATCTAGACAATTATTACATCTTTTTGGATCATCCTCATCTTGATTCTAAGGTTAGCTGTATTTCTCTTGCATTATGAATGCTAAGCAATCACATCTTCTATGTTAATGATAAAAATGTTGAACTGAACAATTTCAGATACAGAATACAGTAATGCTCTATCCAGTCTCAATATGTTATCTTTATATTTGAAATTCTGTTCAATCATTCGTTGTGTAAATTTTAATGAATACCTTATTCTAGTCTAGATGTGATAATGGAAAATGAAACTATTTGAGGTTTGTTGGTTAGGAACAATCAACATGTTAAGAGGTAAACGCAGCATGACAAGTGCTTGACGGCCAGTGTGCTTCAGTGGAGAGGTCACAGAAGAGAATACAGTCAGCTCAACCTGGGAGGAGCAGGTAGGATCTTAAATGGCATCCAACTCAAAGATACCATGAGGGACTTTTGCTGAAACAACTATGAACTAATTCAATAGACTAGATATTTCCCCAATGTTCCAAGTTTAGAACCCTATTTAAGTGTGAAACAGAAGTTTTTTGCAATAACTTGTTCTTGGTGATCCCATTTTGGGATCCTATTATTTCCTTTTATCTTTACATTCCAGAGAATTACCTTGAAATTCCATAATTCCCTTTCTATCTCTTCTGAGCTAAGCAGTCAACCTACATGATTCTGATCATCTTCTTCCATGACATGAGCTTGTAAAGGACCTGTGGAGTACCTGCTCATCAGCTAATTTTGCATGAAGCTACTTTTCTGATCCTTAGCTATTTGGCAGATAAAGTCACATTTACATGTTATTACAGTCACTAGCCGCTTCCACTTCTTCTCCCTCCTCATCCTTGAATGGGAGCCTCATCTGCACCCAAGAGGAGGTCCAGAACCTCTCCAGCCATGAGGAACAGTTATTAGCTCCAAATCTCAGTTATGGTCTTCCTCTGTCAAAAGGCACAGGGCTGTTTTTTGTACACATCCTTTGGAGTCTGTGAGCTTTGGAATTTTTTTTTTTGTAGAATCCAACATTTTTTCTCACGCAGTAGTTACATATTATTGCTAACATTTTGGAAGTTTCTTTCCCAAATTTTAATTTAAACTATTTTTGGTAACTGCTAAGTGTAAAAACATGCATTAGACTTTGGGAAGGGAGAAGTAGATACAATGATGAACAAGAACTGGTCTGAGACCATGGTAGGAACTGATGATCTGATGAAGGAGAAAGACCTGCACATGTATAATACAAGGAAGTGGTTGTTCTGGTTTCTTTATGATGGGTAAATGTTTTGCAAAGACTGAAGTACATGTGTGCAAGGCAAAAACAGCTATTTAAAAATACTTTTTAAAAAGTCATTTCTTTAGAGGGGAAATAAAGAGCATAAAATTATTGTCCTCATCTCATATAAGAGAAACACATTATTTTTCATGTTTTAACCTTTTGTGGTTAAGTCTCACATTCTAAGAGATTTACCACTTCGAAGGAATTCCATCATTTGCACGAGAGCCTGCATGTAAGACTGTCAATTACACAGCAACTGAATTGAGAATTAGTAACTTTTCTAAAACAAAAGAAGAAAATTTTTCTGTTCTTTTGGTAGCATTCCATTATTCTCTACTCAAGAAAATCATTTCAGAAACTTGATCTTTGTTGCCCAAAAAACTATTTTGTGAATAAAATGTATGAAACTCAAAAGCTATGCTGTCTCCCTTTTTAAAAATAATACATTAAAAAAGAAAAGGAAAAAGCATCTTTTCCTTTTTCTTGCAAGAGAAAATATAGTCTCTGTTTTTGAATTGCAAACATATCTCCATAATGGAGAAAAATCAGTTCACATGACATAGTGCTTGTTCAGCCACTTCAAGAACTTGAGTGTAATTTACTCTTTCTGTCTCTCTTCTCCCCAATTGGATTCAGAAAGTCTCATTCTGAAAAAACCATTAGCTTCATGCAAAAATATTCTTTTGGAATGAAAAGCGAGGTAAAGTTTTAACTTTTAGCCTTCGGAGTGTTTTCTTTTTCTGTGATGGAGAGAGCAGTTTCAGTCCGGAGTGCCACAGAAGGGGTTAATGCTGAACTTGGCTGGGTGTCAGTTAAACTTTTTTTCTGGCTCTGCTCCAGGTTTCCCCTTGAAGGGATTTTCCTCTGCTTCTGCATCTCTGCAACAAGACCCTATATAAAGAGCCGACTTTCTATTTCATTCCTCACCGAACCTCACCGAACCTCACTGGCTTTAGGAGCTCAAGACTCTTCCCAGGAACCTTCAAGAGGAACAGAAACAAGCGTTTTGGAATCATTATTTTCTCATAAGAACAGCAGCGTAAATGCCTAGGAAGATGTCTGTGATCTTTGGCGTCTCAAATATTTTTTGGATGGTGTTTGCAGTTTGTAAGTTCTCCTTGATTTGTTCCAAATGCTAGTATTCCATTTTAGCCCTGACTTTGACTTCAGTCACTTTGTTATGATAATAAAGAAAGGCAATGTGTGTGCTTCGTCATTTGTGTCTAACTCTTTGCAACCCCATGGACTGTAGCCCACCAGGTTTCTCTGTCCATGGAGTTTCTCCAGGCAAGAATACTGGAGTGCATTGCCATGCCCTCCTCCAGGGGCTTTTCTCAACCCAGGAATCAAACTCTGGTCTCCTGCATTTCAGGCGCATTCTTTACTATCTGAGCCATCAGGGAAGCCCTGGATTTTTAAAGAGTAGGAAAACTTAATTTAGCCTAACTTTTAATGTGCTACTGACTACTGCTATTAATACGTACCATTATATTGTCATAGTTAAAGCAGCAAAGTTGTTGCTTTTTGGATTTTTTCAATGTTGCGTGAGTAATTGGATTCTGTTTCTAGGAAGGTCTGTCTCTTTAGTTTCCTGAACTTGATAATGAGAAAAAACTTGGCTAGTGACAAAACAACTAATAAATGGGCATCAAGGTCAGAAGTGAGAATTCTCAGAAGCAAAGATGATTTTAACAACTTCTTTTGGCAGGGACTCCAGTGCTGCCCTGCGTTACTTAGAAGCAGTTTAGGAAAGAGATCAGCCAGATTTGAGTGTTATACTAGAACAGAGAAGAAGGTATAGAATACTAAACAAACCAGTGGTAAGCTTGTTTTTCTCTTTTTGCCTTCACAGCTCAAGCTTTCAAAGTTGACATGTTCCCAGATGAATCCAAAATTTTTGCTCAGATTGGTGACTCTGTTTCACTGATTTGTAGTGCAACAGGCTGTGAGTCTGCATCATTTTCTTGGAGAACTCAGATGGACAGCCCACTGAACGGGAAGGTGAGAAATGAAGGGACCAAATCCACGCTGACCATGGATCCTGTTAATTTCGGGAATGAACACCAGTACCTGTGCACAGTGATTTGCGGGGCTATAAAACTGGAGAAAGCAATCCGAGTGGAGATCTACTGTGAGTACTTTACACAATATTTGATTTTTTCTTCATTTTGCTTTAAAATAAATTTTGTAAAAGGATAATTTTAAAAGACAAAAAAGAAAAAGGATACTCATGTCCAGATTCTTGGCTAGGGGACAGAGTGCAGCAAGAAATCTAGAAGACAGCTGAATCTACCACCAGACTAGAGACCCAAATCTTGGCTTCTGTTTCCAACTCTGCCACGAATATGGTGAGCACGGGTGAAGTTCAACTTCTCTAGGCTTCAGTTTTCTTAAACATAAAGTGAAGTTCTCTAAGATTCTTTTTATTTTATTTGTGTGTGTGTGTGTTTAATTTGATTCAATTGGTTTCTTACATGTTTACTTGGCTATATGTCAAATGACTTATGAATTCCATACTTCAGGGATTTTCTATTTATTCTTATGCAATTTGGTACTTAAAACTAGGTTAAAGTTTAAGGAGGAGATATATAATTTAATACTGGGCTTTGGTACAAAATCTTCCCCCTTAGACAGAAGAAAAATATCTGCAAACTTTTCACTTATTTTACTTCGGCAGAGATAAATTTAGAAGGTTTTATTTCTGTTTTTGTTTGGTGCCATTAAGTCTTAATGCTCAACAGCTTAACCTCAAGGATATTCGGAAAATGAACTCGATTTGCCTAGTGAATGTGAATGAATAACCTTTGTTTACTAGCCTACCAAAATGTATTTCAATCCATTCTCAATTCAGCAAGAAAGTTAGCAAAAAGGAGTGAAAAAAATAACCTGAAATACATCACTTGCATTCTGGTTACTGCTCCTGACAGAAAACCAGAATCCTTGATAGTCATCTCTTTAGGAAGACCTTATTTGATTATCTTTTCTAATTATATTGCTTTTCTTTTGCCATGGTGGAGCTCAACTTGGTCCAATAATCTTAACTGATTCTTCAATAATCCCTTATGTAGCTAATGCTTCTCAAGAAACTGTGCTTGGCCAGCTGCTTTCAATTATGCTGGTTGTACATGCAGAGTTTATGTCTGCGAAGCCTTCTGAGCTCCATGAAAGGCTCCCTTATGTAAATACAGGGGAAAGTAGCCAGTTCTTACATTATGTGACAGCAAATTATGTGGATTATAGGCGCATTTCTTTCAGAATACAAGGGACAAAATTATTGGTGGAAAAATGAGAAGTACTGTTTCTTCACATAGCAAATTTTTGCCACTTCCTTTGCCTCTCCTTGCAGGAACCAAATAGTTGAAGATTTAAGAATGAAAATGAAGGCCCTTCTGGTTTTAATTATCTTGCCTGAAGTTTCTTTTTTTTTTTTTTTTCCCTTCAAGAGTGTCTGTCTTTCATTATGTTTAACAGTCCTGTCTCCATTCCAAATTTGGTTGTAATATTTTTTAGAGTTGGGACCTTTGTATTCTTCTTATTTCACAGTCTTGAATCAAGCCAGTATGTTATCATCATGGCGGTTTGCAATGGAAAGCAGCCTTGCAAAGAAAGCAATGGCTCACTGAACTAGTGCTTTCCTTGACATTAAAAATTTCAAGTGGAATATTAGTTAGATGTTGAGTTAGACATTTTGGGAGGCAAATCTGCCTTCCATAATTTAAAGATTGCACAGATGTATGTTTCTGGTGGATGAATGCCTGTTCAAAAGCCAATTATTTAGAGTTGCTCTTTTCATTTCTTAACATATCTTGCCTAATAATTATTCTTTGCAATGCTATTTTAAGCTTCAGGTTCCTTATCTGTAAGATGAAGTATATCTACCCTGACCAAAATAAAAGCCTGTGATATAACATAATGAAAGTCCCAGTAGTCATATGGAATAATAAAAGTCTTGAGTTTAAATCCCAGCATCACCATTACTAGCTGTGTGACCTTAGGAAAGTCATGCAAATGTGCTGAGTCTATGCTTTCATATCTATGAAATGTGGTATCTATTTCTTAGGGTTGTTGTGAGTATAAAGTCACTGATGTTAAATGAATAGCACAGGGATGGGCACATATCAATATTCAATAAACATAAGTTTCTTCTCCCTCCTTTTACTCTGGCAACATGCAACCCTTTGTACATGCAGGATCAGAACTGAGGAACTCTTTAACAGGTTGTTCTGATTTTGAACGCACTCCAAACCATGAAAGGGTATTTAAACAATTCATTCTGCTGTATTAAGGTTGTATTCACAAAAATATTAGACTCAGATTACATTGATTTAAATCAGTAAGGGACTTTACATAATATGAACAAAAAATCCACATGCATGTACTCGTTTGACCTTTGCAGCTTTCTCTAAGGATCCAGAGATTCATTTGGGTAGCCCCCCAGAGGTCGGGAAGCCAGTCACAGTCATGGATGGACTAATTTTTATGACTCAGCAATTCTTTATGCTAGTTTGGCAGAGTATGTCCAATTGAGAAAGCTGTAAATTCAGTCTATGAGAGAAATACAGTAGCCCTGTGGGACCATTGTGATGCTTAGCAATGACTAATACTGTGCCCTGTCTTCTCAGTCTCACCCAAAGACACAGCTATATCTGTGAATCCCTCCACAAGGCTGCAGGAAGGCGACTCTGTGACGATGACGTGTACCAGTGCAGGTCTACCAACTCCACAGATTCTCTGGAGCAAGAAATTAGACAATGGGAATCTACAGCTCCTTTCTAAGAATGCAACTCTCACTTTGATTTCTATGAGGGCAGAAGATTCTGGGATTTATGTGTGTGAAGGAGATAACCCTGTTGGGAAAGACAGAAAAGAGGTGAAATTAATTGTTCAAGGTAAGCAGAAATTGAAAAAGGTGCCATCACTCAGATTTAAGCAATAGTGAAATAACTTCAATGCCAGAAATACTTCATTGTGTTTTGAGTGAGTGAGTGAAGTCTCTCAGTCGTGTCCAATTCTTTACGAGCCCATGGACTGTAGCCTGCCAGCCTCCTTCGTCCATGGAATTTTCCTGGCAAAGGTACTGGAATGGGTTGGCATTTCCTTCTCTGGGGGATTCTCCCAACCCAGAAATCAAGCCCGGGTCTCCCACACTGCAGGCAGACTCTTTACCGTCCAAGTTACCGGGGGAACCCTCATTATGTTTTATGATGACCCATTTGACTGTTCTGTACTGAAGCACAATTATATACTCACCTTACTCATGCTTTTTGGACGAAATCTTTCCTGCCAGAGTTTCCATTAGTTCTGCTGTTTTGGTTCCTTTTCATTTCTCAGCCTTCTTTCATTGCTTCAACCCTTGGCTTTCTCTCTTCCTTCTGCCCCTTATATATTAGGATTCTGTTTCCCATATCTAGTCCTCCTCCCTTGTCACTTCCAAGATTTGAGCTATGTATTATTGATATATGCTCTTTACTCTGAAATTCGTGTTCCTATTTCATATCATCAAAACCTGTTGGTTCTTCTTCAAAATGATCCCTCTAAGAATCTGACCTCTATTCTTTAAACCTCTTGCCATAGCTTTACTTCATCATCTCTCCTTTGGGCTCCTGAAAGATATTCTTAAATAACATTCACTGACCATCAGCTATATTCCAGGCACTTTACATATGTTTCCTGTGATCTTTAAGAAACGACTAAGGAGTAAGTACTTTGTATTCATTTTAGTGATGAGAGAATAGTGTCTCACAGAGATTAATAAAGACTCTTATTTATTGTACATCTAATACTTGCCAGGAGTTTCCTTGCTACTTTATAAATGCTACCACTTTAGTTTTTGCCACAACCTTTTGAAGTGAATAAAAGCTCAGGCTCAGAATAGTTCACAACTTGCCATGTCACATAACTCATTAGTGGCATTTACTGTGATTTTAACATAGACCCGTTTAACCTCCAAACTCCATAATTTTTTAACTATGGCTAATTGTTTTAAAATGGTCACCCTACTATCATTCTGTCCCCCAACATAATCCTACGTACTGCTACCAGAGTTATCTACTTGAAACAAGAAGACTGCATATTTCATATGACTTCAACTTGACCCTAATTGCATATAAATTAAAACTCACATTTCCTAAAATAGTTGCATAAAACTCTTCAGAATCTAGTCAGAAATGACCTTTGCATCTTTGTGGGTGACTCTGTGTCTGTTTATGCTATAACTTCTGCTTTGAATGTCCTTTCCTTCCTTATCTGGCAAAGTTTTAGCCATCCTTCAAGATCAAGCTCATGTCAGCCTCCCAATTCCAGTTTGTGTTAGGCACAGCTAGTTTTTGATCCCTTCATGTACATTTGACACTTCTTAGGAATTTGTATGTGCTTTTGTTCAGTTTAACATATATTAATTAAGGTGCCTTGTCCAAGAATCGAAGAATTGTGCTTGGTACTGGGGGTACAGACATAAAAAGTCACAGTGATTACCCTAGAGGAACTTGTAATCTAGAGATTGGCAGATGTATAAATAGATATTTTAAATATTTTTAGTAAGAGCCAACACTTATGTAAGTGTGTCTTTCCACTAAACTGACGGGCAACTCCTCAAAGTTAGGGACTGGTGTGTGTGTGTGTGTGTGTGTGTGTGTGTGTGTTTTACGAGTGCCTGCCATGTAGTAGGTGCTCAGTAGATACTGAATGAATAACTTGTGAACATAAATTTAAAAACATACTTTTAAAATATGAAAACATGGAATTTGAACTTGCATGGCTAAAAAGATACAATTCAAACTCTCTCAGAAGATGAACCCGTTTGCTTTTAGGTCAGCATTTTTCAAGAAACCAGGAAAAACATTACACTGATAAAAGCATGTAAAGCTAATCTTTCATCTGGAATAACTCTACCCCAAGATTAGCTGTATCCCATTTCAATGTGAAAAGGAAACATGTTCTGGGATTAGGCAGTGCTGCTTTTTATTTTGTATCACAGGACATTAGCAACCTTAAGTGCTGAAGAGAGAATTGAACTTCAGTTATCTTAGACCTGGAGGACCTTCTGGAGAAGTGGAGAAGGAAATGGCTACCCACTCCAGTATTCTTGCCTGGAGAATTCTGTGGACAGAGGAGCCTGGAAGGCTATAGTCCTTGGGGTCACAAGGAGTTGGACACGACTGAGCGACTAACACTTTTTTTCTATCTCACAGTTACTCTTTCAGGAGTCATGAGTTTCCACGGCAACATATGCAGCCTCTGTAAAACACAGTCTGAGACTGTTCACAGGCAGGAAGCAGATCTTTATGTTCTCCATTCTCACACTAGCATATAAGGAATTCAGAAACACTGGATATTGTTCTAAATGAACTTTCTCCTTCAAAAATCTGATAGCATGTCAGTTTGTTATGGTAATTTGAGGGAAGCATTCTTTGGAAGATACCGTAATGGCCGTGTTAGACAAACCAAACTGAGAAAATTCTTCTGGCACGGATGAGAACCCTTCAAAATGTAGTGCCTTTGGATTATGTATATGCTGTGATTTTTTTTTTTTCTATCTCCAGCCAGCTATTTACAATGGCGAGTTTTAGTGAGTTTTCTGTGAAGTCTCATCTGTCACTTTTAGAGGTGCCCAACCACTCCCAATTTTGCTAGGGGAATAGAGTCAAGATTTAAAATTCTTCTTCTCCCCAGACAGTAGTCATCCCAAAGCAGCTGGGGTGCCCCGCGGGGATTGCATTGGCAAAGAACTTTGCTAGATATTGCAGATTTTTTGCCCTGCATTTAAGCCATTGAAATAATTGTAAAGCATCTTTATGTTGTATTAAGCAAATTTAAGAGGTGGCTTGCGTACCGCTTTAATGCTTAGATTTTGACTTTGCCGTGTGATACTGAAATCATTCTTTTCAGTGTGATTTCAGTATGTGTTTTTAGTGGGATTCTATGTGACTTTCATGTTACAACTTTATTCTGTTGATACAGAAGCTCTAAATACTGGTCTGTTACAGGTATTGTTTCTAATCAGAAGCCATATATATATAGCTTTTTTTCAGTACTTTCCTTAGATCTGGTTATCTCTCCACTTGCAGATATTTTGATTTAGTTGTTCAAGTGAAAAGCTGGGATCTTAAATTAGACTCACCTGGCTTCAAGTCCTAATTTTGCCACTTGCAGGTTAGATGAAGTTATTTTTCCTCAAGAAGAAAGGGGAGGAGGAGGAAAAGGAGGAAGGGAAGGAAAATAAGGAAAAGTAGAATGAGACACTGAGAGTCAAGGAGAAGAAGCAATGAGACCAGATCCTGAAGTTGTGTGGATTAAATGAGATAATATTCATATATGTAAAGTGGTTTAAGCAGTGCTTGACACGCTGGAATCTTATATCTTTGAGCTTTTGTCCCTCAGTTATAAGAATATGATAAACACATTTAAGTGGAGAATGAATTTTTGTTATGAAAAGGTGCCAATCTCTGTCTTGACACATTTTTATCCCTGTTCATTCTGTTGAATGAATGAATCACAGCGTCTTGTATGTTTGTTCTTAAAAGATGTGGTTCCCTTCCTGATAGTCCCAATGTGGAAAGAAGTAGTATATTCTTGGCACAGATGTTAGCTAAAAAGAAGTCAGAAAAAAAAACAGCTGTATGTTGAACTTTGGTGAAAGAATTTTATTTTCGTCTTGTTCTTTTCTCCCCACCAGAGAAAATGTTTACTGTTGAGATCTCTCCTGGACCCCAGATTGCTGCTCAGATTGGCGACTCAGTCGTGTTGACCTGTGATGTCAGGGACTGCGATGCCCCATCTTTTTCTTGGAGAACACAGATAGACAGCCCTCTGAACGGGAAGGTGAGGACCGAGGGCTCCAAGTCCACGTTGACCCTGAGCCCTGTGAGTTTTGAGAACGAACATTTTTACCTGTGCACTGTGATGTGTGGGCAAAAGAAACTGGAGAAGGGAATCCAGGTGGAGCTCTACTGTAAGTAGATTTCAAAATTGTTTACTGTTTTTGTTGTTGTTGTTCCTGGTTCCATTGAAAGAAGCAAAATGCAAATCTGTGATACACAACAAGATCTTTGTGTTTAGGAAGGGAATTTAGCATTGTGAATGGTTCTCAAATCTCGAAACCAAAGTTTTTGATGCAACTTTGATGTATATATTTCACAGTAAATATTACATATGAATCCAGCATCCCTGATCCTTAGTTTGTGTCTTGTCTATACTCTCTCATCATGGACTTGAACATACTGCATGCCCCCTGCTACCCACCCTACTCTGGTTGTATATGGTGTGTACAGAGATGGTTGTATGCAAAGAGTAGAAACAGTGCCCATTCAGATAATGGGGTGGGATGACGAATTATTCGAATTGGAGGGTGAAGCCCAAACCTACTGTTTTAAAGGCACATTTGAAAGCTGATTGGCAGGATGGAGACATGAGGCCATGGTGAGCAGGAGAAAACCTGGGAGTTAGAATGATCACCAGGGATGGTTAGTGTAGCAACTCAGGTGAAAAGAAGCACCAGAAGATCGCACTAGATTTGAGTATTAATTTATACCACATACATATACTACACTTCTTCTTGCTGTTCCTGTCACCCTAACAAAATCGTAGCGCTTCAAATCTCTATGAATTGACATTGCTGGAATTCCTCAGTTTATAATGAATGAGGACAAGATATGCAAAGTGATCAGAAAGTTCCCTGGTAAAGAATCCGCCTGCAATGCAGGAAATGCAAATTCAATCCCTGGGTCAGGAAGATCTTTTGGAAGAGGAAATGGCAACTCAATCCAGTAGTCCTGTCTGTAGAATTCCATGAACAGAGGAGCCTGGGGGTCTGCATAGTCCGTGGGGTTGCATAGAGTCAGACATGACTGAGGGGCTAAGTACAGCACACCGCACACACATTCTGCCTTGCTTTTATTCAGCAGAGTCCAAGAGAACAGTTGTGGATATTTTCCTCCAGAAATCCTGCCCAAACTTGTGTTACCCCTCAAGATTTTGCTCAAAATGAGTTAGAGTATGGCTGTAAAGGGATTTGAATCTCTCAAAAGACAGGTTAATTTATTGCTTTATCATATTACCAAGAGTCCAGGAGCCGCTGATGCAGCACACTCCCAACAGCAATGAGAACCAGCAGTGAAGCCTATGCTCATGTGGAAACCTTAGAGAATCTGTCACTTGACAACATTTTGCTCCAGGAGAAAAAAATTTTAGCATTGCTCTTGATAACTGTTCTCATCTTACTTTTGTTGATTTGTATCAAGATGTGTTATAAATATTACTTAGAATCTGAATCTCATATTTTTTTCTGAACTACAAGTATTATTCAAGAAACATTTAAAACTTTCTGCCTAAACCTGGTCATTCGAAATAAAAATGTCTAAATTGCTTGGGTCTGTGAAACCAAGCCTGGGCTCTGAGCTCAAGGAAATAGGAATTCTGATCTCAGCTGGGTGACTTATTAGATATGATGTCAAATGGCAGACTCTTAGCCTTTATAAGTATAATAAGTCTCCTAGCTATCAAATACATTCTCTGTGCATTTTTCTAGCTTTAAAATAAGTTAATACCCATTAGATCATGCTGTTTTGAAGACTGAGATAATGAATATTAAGGGACTAGCACATAATAAACATCCATTACATTATGGAAAATATTTAAAATGTTTAAAATGTATGTATACTAAGTAAGTTGGTAGAAGCTGATGTGTCCTTTGAAAAGACTAGTCCGTAGCTGTCAGCAAGACTGTATCACTAAGGAGAGAAGAGTGAGAAGTATATTTATTTCTTGATGATTTGATGTGCTAGGTATTTTTTGTTTCCAGCATTATTTATATTTGATATCATAAATATTTATATTTAATGTTGTGATGCATCTATTAGTAATCATTTTATCCCAGGTGAATTAAAACCTTCACTTTGAGAACTTTGCATTTAATAAAGATTAGCTCTGTTTTTCTTCTAGTGTCACGTATAAACCTCATATTTTGCTTGATATTTGCAGCCTTCCCTAGTGATCCAGAAATTGAAATGAGTGGTCCGTTAGTGAGTGGAAACCCAGTCACTGTAAGCTGCAAGGTTCCTGATGTATATCCTTTGGACCGGCTGGAGATTGAATTGTTTAAAGGGGAGAGTATTATGATGAATAAAATCTTTTTGGACGATTTAAGTAAGAAAGCCCTAGAGACCAAGAGTTTAGAGATGACCTTCATCCCCACCATTGAAGATACTGGAAATGTTCTTGTTTGTCTGGCTCAGTTACCTATTGATGAAATGGAATTTGAACCCAAACAAAGGCAGAGTACACAGATACTTTATGTTAATGGTAAGTACATGTGTGATGTATCCACAACTTGATGTGAATTTTTTTTGATCATGTTTTCCAGGTAATAGTTAACATGAAGTTCATAGTTAAAACCATTGTGAAATGAAATAATTGAAAAGAAACTACAAAATAATGATTTCATATTAAAAAAAAACCCTCAAACTTAAAGCAACTGTTTATTTGCTTATGATTCTAAGCTGGTAGTTTGGGAAGAGGTCAGATGAGCAGTTTATTCAATACGGTATCAGATGAACACACATGTTCACTTTCAGTCTGTTGGAAGTTCAGTGAGGGATGGTCTCAGGTAGCCTCACTTCCAAGCCTGGGCCTTCTCTGGGGGTGCCTGTGCCTTCCTTTCTTCATATGAACAGAGGTAACATAGATTTAGTTACCAGAGTGCAGGGCTTCAAGAGAGTAAAATGAAGGTGGCTTCTTGGGGCCTAAGCTTGAAAGTCCTACAGAGTTACTTCTTCTAGGGTATATTGGTCAAAGTTAGTCACGAGGACAGCTTAGATTCAAGAGGTTGAAAAATAGAGTCCACCTTTTCATAGGTGATTTACATAGCTCATGTTTGTGTTTAATGTACTATAAATGTCCATACACACTATCATTGACCATCCATTTTTTTGACAGCAAGAATGTTTCTATAGATTTTATTTCCATTAGAAAATATCCATGATATGTTCATATTCTACTCTGGATCATTCTGTGTAGGGCTTCCATGGTGGGTCAGTGGTAAAGAATCTGTCTGCTTATGTGGGAGACTGGGCTCAATCCTTGGGTTGGGAAGATCCCCAGGAGAGGAGATGGCAACTCATGTCAGTGTTCTTGCCTGGGATATCCCATGGACAGAGAAGCCTGGCAAGCTACAGTCCATGGGGTCACAAAGAATCAGATGTGACTTAGGGACTAAACAACAAAAGCAATCATTTTGTATCTGCTAAAGTAAATAGGGCAGAAAACTCCTTTGGTAAAGTTATCAAGGTTTATAAACTGTTCTAACCCACAAATGCATAGCCAAGTTTTGCAACACTGATAAAAACTCTTTGGAACTCGGGGTGTAAACAGCCAAGCTAACAAGTGTCCCTACCTTTTCAGTTGCTCCCAGGGATACAACCATCTTGGTCAGCCCCTCCTCCATCCTGGAGGAAGGTAGTTCTGTGAATATGACATGCGCTAGCGATGGCCTTCCAGCTCCCCAAATCCTGTGGAGCAGGCAGCTAAGTAATGGGGATCTACAGCCTATTTCTGAGAATGCAACTCTCACCTTCATGTCTACAAAAATGGAAGATTCTGGTATTTATGTCTGTGAAGGCATTAACCAGGCTGGAATAAGCAGAAAAGAAGTTGAATTAATTATCCAAGGTGAGCTAAAGTGATTAAATGAGTTATTAGCGCTATTCTTATTTTGGTTATGTTACTGGTTTTGAATAAAGTCCTTTTAAAACAAATTTTCTAAAACAAAATGCACTGAACATTTTGAAGAGTTCTGTGTGGAAATCTGGAATAGCACTTCTTCATGAACCATTCCAAAGCACTTATCCTAAAATTCTTTCAACCTCAAGTGGAAAGCTAGCTCTAGGAACTGTGCCAAGAGTTCCAGTTACACTTATGAGGCGTTGATTATGGTGTTGAAAAAAGGATAGGAAGACGTATATACATATTTTGGAATTACTTAGGGCCCAGGTGGCACTAGTGGTGAAGAACCTGCCTGACAATGTGGGTTAAATGTAAGAGATGTGGGTTGGATCCCTGGATCTGGAAGATCCCCTGGAGGAAGGCATGGCAACCCACTCCAGTATTCTTGTCTGGAGAATCCCATGGACAGGAGAGCCAGGCGGGCTATGCTCCATAGGGTCGCAAAGAGTTGGACATGACTGAAGCAACTTAGCACCTTGCATACAAAATCACCTTATCTAACTGGATTAAATTCCTCATGGTAATCTCATAAAGTGATTGCTAGGGTTTGCTTAGAAGGCTAAGAAGGCACTTAAATCTTTTATAAATTCTGAGATTGAGTAGCAGTGAGCTTTCACTCTGATTCATCAATTTAATGGCGTAGAATCACTAGGATGGATTAAGTTAGGAGATCCAGACCCTTTCTTTTCAGGATGGAGAAGTAAAACTGAGAACAAAATAATTTCTGGTTGACAGGTTGAAGCTCTAGGCAGTTTTGGGCAAAGTCATGAAGTGGTCAATTTGGATTTCCCTCATACCTTCCCTTTTGGGGTTTGAGGTCCTCTTCTTCACTAGGACTGTCAGTTCTTCTCTTATCCCTTGGTATTATTTCCACTAAGGTGTTAGTGACTGTCTTGTTACCTTGTTACAATAATTATTTGTATTTTAAAGGAAAGGAAGAAACTTGGAAGAGCAATGCACTACCTTAAAGAAAGCTCTTAGGATGTAGCTTTGGTTGAGGAAAGAGTATCAAGTACTTCAAGAAATAGTTGCACAACTTAGTGACCCCCCCAAAAATGTTATTTTCCACATTTGAAATCTCCAACTGTTTTCAAACACCCATTCATTGGCTAAGGTTGGGTAAGAATTACATTATGGCTGTAGTCCCCAAACTTTTTGGCACCAGGGTCTGGTTTTGTGGAAGACAGTTTTTCCATGGGTTGGGGAGGGGGCTCATTTCAGAGTGATTCAAGAGCAGTAGGGTTCATTCTTCTATGAGACTCTAATGTTGCCACTGATCTGGTAATGCTAGCCGTGGGGCGGGAGTGTAAATATAGATGAAGCGTCACTTGTCTGCTGCTCACCTCCTGCTCTGTGACTGGGTTCCTAATAGGGCACAGATTGGTACCAGTTCATGGCCTGAGGGTTTGGCACCCTTGTATAAGGGACATGAAGGAAGCATGAGATGTCTTCTTTTATTAAAAATATTACCATTTATAAGAATCCAGTAAATGTTTGACTTCTTTAATTGCCCGTCTAAATATTTAATGCAAACAGTAAGCACAAATACCATCTTGACAACTATTGTTACTGTCATTAAATTAATATGGAATGTGTTTATATTTCATTCAATCAGAGGTATCTTTAAATTCTTTCCACAGTTGCTCCAAAAGATATACAACTTACAGCTTTTCCCTCTGAGAGTGTCAAGGAAGGAGACACTGTCATTATCTCCTGTATATGTGGGAATGTTCCCCCAACTTTGATAATTTTGAAGAAAAAAGCAAAGACTGGCTACACAGTGCTACAGTCTACAGATGGTGCATATACCATTCACAGGGCTCAGTTAGAGGATGCAGGAGTATACCAATGTGAATCTAAAAATGAAGTCGGCTCACAGCTAAGAAGCCTAACACTTGATGTTAAAGGTTAGTTTTTTTTTGTTTGTTTGTTTTTTTGTTTCTTGTTATTTTTAATAACAGGTCTGAAGCTTGGTGGATTGTAAAGAATTTCAAGGGTTAGATGAATGAGTTGGCAAAATGGAACTGAATTCCATGTCGATTATGGTTATTTCTTAGTGTTTCCTAAAATAATCATGTACAGGTGCTCTGTCCTAAGGGGTTTAGCCAGGTTGTTGACATTTGTCATAAATCAATGTCGAATTCCCATTTGCTATTTGAAACATTGACAATTCATCGTTGGTCTCTGAGGTCTTTCATTTCTTGTGTGTTTAAATGTATTTTCAAAACCTTTCTTTGGGAGTTATAGGGAAACTAAAGAAGTAGAATTGGCACATGGAAAAAGAAAGGTTTATCTAGACCCTTTTCCTTCCTACCCGAAGAGAGTGTCACTCTCTGAATAAGAAGTGACTGCATATTTTCCAGATTAACTCTTTTCTGGATTTGAGAATGATGATCTTAATGCTGAACAATGTAAAGGAGTCTCTAGACTACAGAATTACTTCCTTAGAATATCTAAGCTCCTAGTCCATCCTGTTGTTTTCTGATGGAGAAAGGGAGGTAGGGGGCCACGGCCCCCAGCAGAGGAATTTCAGGGGCCAACTTAATTTTAGTCCATCTGTGAACTCACAGTAGGATCTGTTGATCTTATCAGTGAATGTAGTAAGTGTCTGCGTTTATTGCTCAGTCTTCCACCCCTTGAGTGGTAAGGAGCTCCAACTGTGTACTGGAAGCCAAACTTGAAATAAACATGATTGTGAACAAATACAACTCTTAAGAGCCTTTGCCACTGGGCTCCCAGAGACAACAGCTATCAATGTAAAGAGAATTTAAATCTGGGTCAGAAAATGGGTTCAAATTTTACTCATCTCATCAAATCTCTCAAGATTCCAAGCTTTATCATGTTTTCTGTCTTCACAATACCTCCTCGAAACACAACAACAATATCTCTTGTATCATGTCACTGAAAATGACACAGGAGTGTATATAATCAATGCTTCTAGATTTCTGGATGATTGAGATCTCAGCTATGAGTAGGTTGAAATTCATCTATTCCTATTTAATCCTTGATGTCTCCAGACCACCTTTAATTAAGCCTAGTTCCAGGGACTTGGATTCCTAAAGTGAAGTCGCTCAGTTGTGTCCGACTCTTTGCAACCCCATGGACTGTAGCCCGCCAGGCTCCTCCATCCATGGGATTTCCAGGCAAGAATACTGGAGTGGGTTGCCATTTCCTTCTCCAGGAGATCTTCCCGACTCAGGGGTCGAATCCTGGTCTCCTGCACTGCAGGCAGACTATTTACCATCTAAGCCATCAGGGATTCCTAACATTTTTACAATTATTTTTGTAGTCAATGATTCTCTTTCAAAGACGTATCAAAGCTTCTTCTCCTCTTTTTAAGTTTCTCATACATTGTTGTCTTTTCTAATTGCTTTATTAAGTTGACATCTTTACATATTTGCTATTTTTCACTCATTACTTAAATGAACAATTAAAGCACATTGCAGGCACTCAGCTAGAACCCCTAAACTAAATATGGTTTCAACTAATTAAAATTAATGGAAACAAAATTTGACGTTTTCCTGGGAATTTTGAACTAGTCATCCTTTGCATTTAGCTGAGATTTTAAACTAATTTTGGTTTGTTTTACTTTAGAAATACATTTGCTTGAATATATTTCAATGATAGAAATGTTTGGGAGTCTTATAGAATTTTCAGTATTGATACAGTTAATAGAAAACTATACTTGAAAGTTGCCCTGGTAACCAATTCAGCAGCAAATTTGTACTTTACTGCAGATAACTGAGGGGAAAAAACAAAGGCAAAAGACAGTATAATACTTATTAACTTGAAAACAATAGGATCGGAAATACCATTGCCTACCATGTCATCAATATTGATGCCTAAGCATAATTATGATAATGAATATGTCATTAAAATATTACTCTCATACTCTTAGTTCTACCCTAGTAAGGAAAAGTAGAAAAATAGGGTAATTATCATTATGTTTATGATGAAGTTTTTTTAACTTCAATAATTCAAAAATCAGCTTCCCTTCATCTGACCCTAGTGATTCTTTTCTTCTTGGTTGACTTCTGGTGATTAGAAACCTCTAGAAGTAAAGCAATGATTATCAATGTCAAATCATTCATTTCTTCTAGAACAAAAACAATATAGAAGCCTCTTGAAGAAACTTACTGTTTATGAGGTCATACTGTGCTGTGCAAGAATAAATATAAATAGAGATGAATCACCAGTAAATATCATGCTGTCTTCTTCAGATGTTCTTATAAGGTTAAAATGTTAATACTATTGTAACTGTCAGACGATTTTTAGTGTAGTAGAAAGAGTACTAAGAGAACTTTGCCTGGAGAATCCCAGGGACGGGGGAGCCTGGTGGGCTGCCATCTCTGGGGTCGCACAGAGTCGGACACGACTGAAGTGACTTAGCAACAGCAGAAAAAGTACTAATTTAAAAGTTTTGTGACACTATTACTTTATGAATTCAATTTATGACTAAATGACAATGACAGGATGTAGAAAGAAGACAATATATATTGTTATTTGAAAGATATTATTGGGGAAAGAAAAGATATTTATTGGGTGCAAGCTACTCTAAGCAGTGAATCAGTTACTAGCTATTGAGTAGTGGATCAAAAGAAACTAGATACATGCCCTTGTGTAATTCAGTCTGAAGGAGGGAACCAAAATTAATAGATAATCAAACACACAGATGTTTAACTATAAGTTGTGATGAGGGCTGTGAAGGGAAAATGTAGTGGGTTATAAAAGTATACAGGGAAAAAAGCGCATTGTTGTTGTTCAGTCACTTATTTGTGTCTGACTTTTGGCGACCCCATGGTCTGCAGCATGCCAGGCTTCCATGTCTTCACCATCTCCTGGAGCCTGCTCAAACTCAGGTCCATTGAGTCAGTGATGCCATCCAACCGTCTCATCCTCTATCGCCCCCTTCTCCTCCTGTATGTTAAGTTCCTAATTTAGGCTGGTGGAAATGCAGGTCAGAGAATGCCTCTTTGAGGAAGTAACACTTAAGTAAAAATATAAAGCTATCCAGAGAACTTCATATTGTCAAGAAATGATATAAATGCTGAAGAGGAATAATGTATATTAAGCTGCCCTACTTCAGAGATACAAAATATAAAATTTTCTTTTTATTTCTAAAAAAGCCATTGGCAAGAATTCTTTCTCTTACTATCTCATACATGATGTTTGACTATAATGGTTTCACTGTAGGTATTTCAGGACCTTTCTTGGAGAATTGGTGAGTTATTTTAACTCATTAATAATCTGAGTCCTAGTTCTTTAGTACATACTTTTATTTCCCAAAGCAAACACTCTTGTCCCATTCTTACTCTTCTAAATGAGCCTTAAAAAGTCGCACCCTTCCTTCCATCCTGTTATTGGACCTGCATCCATGTGAATCTAAGTTTGTGGAAGTCAGCAGCTGGCATCTTTAGATTCATTATGACCATAACAACTGCTAACTATTATTTAATTAATTCAGAGAAATGTGCATTTGAGTCCTGTTGGTTCTTATCAATGGTTTAATTCACTTTTCTTCAGAAAACTAGTGGTACTATTAAAATAAAACTTGTGACTGTTATTTTTATTAAACAATTTCTTTTCATACCAGATATTAATTGCATCCATCTTGTTATTTTCCAGGAAGAGAAAGTAACAAGGACTATTTTTCTCCTGAATTTCTTGTGCTGTATTGTGCATCTGCCTTAATATTAACTGCCATTGGAATGATTACTTACTTTGCTAGAAGAGCTAACATGACAGGGTCGTACAGTCTTGTAGAAGCACAGAGATCAAAAGTGTAGCTAATGCTTGAAAAGTTCTACTAAAGACATTGTCAGTTCAGATCCTCGATACTGCCCATCATTCCATGAGGAAAACAGAAACTGGGAGTTCAGGCTTCCTTGAATGCAGTGAACGCTTGAAAAGAAATGGCTGCCTATGGCCCTTACTGTGAACAAGAAGCCAAAGGAAAATTTCTGCTTAAAAACTAGGCACTACCATTGAGGTGACTGGAGTAATTTCTTGATGTGTATATACAATAACATGATTTGTATATATGTAAAACTATGCCGTAGCAAGGTTGCTTGGAATATCAGCACACTAGAGTCAATATATCTAAAATTATTAAAATGTTGCTTGAACTGATTATTATAACTTAATGCATCTTCATATCAACTGGCAGCTGACCTATGTCATCTTTTTAATATTTTATTTCCTGTAACAAAATTTTATTCCTATAAAGTTCATAGGCAATAATTTCATGTTGTGGAAAGATGCCAGGGTTTTATATTGTCATAGGCAAATGATAAACCAAGAGGGCACGGGGTTGACTTTCAGGTACTAAACACTTCAACCTATGGTATAATGGTTAACTGGATTTCTCTGGGTGGTACGGACATGGTACGGAGACATTTTTTGATGTTTGTTCATCAGACTCATGTAATTTTCCCAAGTGGTCTAAAAATGCAACTTCTTTTGATTTTCTTTTGTAAATGTTTAGGGTTTTTTTGTTTTTTTTTTGTATAGTAAAGTGATGATTTCTGGAATCGAAAGAGTTGTGTGTTTATTTATTATAAGTTGCCTCCTTTAATCATGTTGTAACTCTTTTGGTAATGTCAAGTTCCAAATACCTGAGAGTTCAAACCCATAGAAATAATATCTACTTGAAATGTGCTCCTCACAGATTACTTTTATCAGAATTACCATGGGAACTTGACAGATATTTACTTATCTTGGGGCCATCCTAACCTATTGAATTGAAATACCTGGTTTAGTAGCCTTGGAACCTGCAATTAAAAAAAAAATTTAAATATAGTATGCACAGAAAGAGTGAATGCAGATGAACATGGACATGTTAAAGGGTAGCAAGTAAACACCTGTACCATTAAAGCAAAGAGACAGAGCATTACTGTTCTTCAGAGCCTCTTAGACATCATTCATTGATTGCAGCTCTGTTACTGAGGCTTCAACAAGATCTTGAATTGTACATTAACCTTTCCCCTCCTTTCTTTGGGGATTTTATACCTATATATGTTCTTAGTCGTGTCCAACTCTTCGCAACCCCATGGACTGGAGCCTGCCAGGTTCTTCTGTCCATGGGATTTCCAGGCAAGAATACTGGAGTGGGTTGCCATTTCCTTCTGCAAGTTATCTTCCTGACCCAGGGATGGAACCCAGGTCTCCTGTGTCTCCTGCTTTGCAGGAAGATCCTTTATCCACTGAGCCATTGAGGAAGCCCTTATACCTATATAGGTAACCCTAAGTAAAATATTGTTTTGTTTGCCAGCTTTTGAATCTTACATGCATGCCTGCTAAGTCACTTTAGTCAAGTCCAACTCTTTGTTACCCCATGGGCTATAGCCCTCCAGGCTCCTCAGTCTATGGGATTCTCCAGGCAAGAATACTGCAGTGGGTTGTCATTTCTCCCTCCAGGGGATCTTTCCTACCCAGAGATGGAAACCCTGTCTCTTATGTCTCCTGCTTTGGCAGGTGAGTTCTTTACCATTAGCACCACCTTGGAAGCCCCTAAATATAATCAAATGGTATATTTGATGGTGACTTTATTTTTCACTCAAAATTATGTTTTTGCTTAATTAATCCATATTTTTATATTTAGCTATGTATATTCATTATAAGATTTTGCCACAACTTATTTATATAGGAAATATATATACTGTTGGTGGATATTTGGGCTGTTTACAGTTTTTACAATATGATCAAAATTTCTATAAACACTGTCTTACATGTTCCTGAATTACGTGTATGAATTAACTTAGGGTGCAAGAATTCCTCTAAAGTGTATATATTCTAATGAAATTGCTGGATTGCAGGAAATGTACACTTTCAGGTTTATAAGGAAAGTTAAACTATTTTCTGAAGCAGTTGAAATAGTTTATACTCCACCAGCAGCGAATAAGTGTCCACATTACTAAACAGCTTACCAGTGACATTGTCTCACTTAGAAATTTGCCTTTCTTACAGCTTAAAATTGTCTTCCATATTGTTTTTAACTTGTATTTTCCTGATTACTAGTGAGGTTGAACATCTTATCATATATTTAAGGACTCTGTGTTTAGGATCATTGGAGCTGGCCCTTTCGTGAAATATCTGTACATTTCTTTTGCTGTTTTCCTGGTGGTCTTTTATTGATTTGGGGGAGATTTTAAAATATGTTTATATATTTTAGAATATGTGTATATATTACCCTAAAACATTGGGCTTCACTGGTGGCTTAGTGGTAAAGAATCCGTCTGCCAATGCAGGAGGCGCAGATTCTATTCCTAGATCATGATACAAACACACATACACACACACACATATATATATACACACACATTTATATTTATTCTGGATGTTAGTCCTTTGTTGTTTTGCCCATGTATCCTTCGGGAGTTTTACAGTTTCAGGTCTTATGTTTATGTCTTTGTCTCTTTTGAATTAATTTTTGTATATGGTATAATCCCACTGTTCTTTATATTTCCTCTTTTTTGGCTTTCTTTTGAATTATTATATTTTAACAATTACATTTTATCTTTCTTGTAGGCTCACTTGTCTTTTTTTTTTAGTAGTTACTTTAGGGTCTTTGTTGTTTAGTAGCTAAGTCGTATCTGGCTCTCTGTGACCCCAGGAACTGTAGCCCACCAGGCTCCTCTGTCCATGAAATTTCCCAGTCAATAATACTGGAGTGGGTAACCATTCCCTTCTCCAGAGGATCTTCCTGACCCAGGAATTGAACCTGGGTCTCCTACATTGCAGGCAGATTCTTTACCATCTGAGCCACCAGGGAAGCCCTTATTTCTTCCTAGTGCTCTCTAAGATTTCTTCATTCTTACCTTTCGGCTCACTAGCTTGTTCTTCAACTGTCTTTACTCTCCTATCATATCACGCATTGAGTTCTTTATCTCAAATTTTTATTTATGCTATAGTATTTCTATTTGGTTATACCATATAACTGCTAGCTCTTTCTTTATGTTAATAATATCTTCCTCATCTAATGCTCACTTTAAATCTCTAGCTAATTAAGTCTTATTTTTCAGGTATAAGTTTCTCAGTTTGTTTTTTTTAAATCCTGGTATCAAATGTCTTTTGTTAGTGTGCCTGTGAGCTCACAGTCTTTAGGAGTATTCGCTAGCCTTCGTGAGAAAGTTAAATTCCAGGTTAGCTGTTTCTCTTGTGGTAAATTTAAGGATAGGGGTAGAGTGGGGAAGCCGTCCCAGTAGGGGTGTCAAGACTCTCCACTGTCTCTTTACCATTCCTCTTCCCCACAGTTGACACTGTTCTTTGGCTAATTTTGTCGTGCTTTCACCTAGGGGACTGCTTTTCCTTTTTCCCTTCCTTGGAACATGCTAGATTTCTGTATCAGTCCAGGAAGAATCACTTGAAGGAAATATATCTATTTCTCTATATTAAGGGATTTGTGATAGTGATTCAAGCCTACACAGTGGAAAAGAGCTGGTTAAACTGTCTCTGCAAGGCTGTTGTCTTCACTTCTGATGCTAGAGTTTGAGGCCTGTAAGGAAGTCAGTCAGAAGGGAAATGTGGATGTAAAGTCAGAGGCAGCAAGGAAAAATTGAAACTTACAAGCATCAGCTGGAACCTGCAATGATGGATGGGAACCCATGTCAGTTCCCACTGCTTTCAATCTCAAGGCAGTGAGAAACTGGAATGCTTCATTGTGGACCCAAACACATCTGGCTCTTGAATCAGAAAAGATGAAGGAGGTGCCGGAGAATCTGGATCATTTGATGTCCATGAAGTAAGCCAGCAAACTGGCAATGCTTATGAGTTTCAACAGTTCCTGGTTATCTTACTTTTGTTCGAGAAAATAAACAAACAAGACAAAAACTACCAAACAAGAAAACAAAATGATCTGAGTGTTACTTCACATCTACTATCCAATATTGCACAAAAGTCTAACTGGAAATACAGAGAAATGAATTCTAGGCAATGTAGTTCGTACTAGCCAAGTTGATGCATTCCAAAGCCACCACAACCTCAGCATGTGGAAAGGGATTGACATTATTGGTTATGTTGTTTTGCTTTTCTGGCGATATGTCTCACACAGCTCTCTTCTTTTCTGACAAATCATTCTGAGGAGAAAGAGACAATTAAGATTATGCTCTGATCATAGGATTTTTAAAGAGTTCTTTATTGTACATTTCAGCCTAGGCATCAGAGTAGATGTGCATTTAAGGAAAGCTGGTTGTCTGAACTGCTTCTAAAGATAAGAAGATAAAGCTATACCTTGACCAACACCAGCTCTTATTAGTACAAGATATCATTCACCTAAGAATATCATTCTTTCATTTGGGTCCATAAATTAGAAACCAAGAGGGAAAAAATTCACGACTCTCGTATGCCTTTAATTTCTAACCCTGGCTTGTGACTGGTTAGTGCAGCTTAATAGCGTCCATCCTGGTCAACGTACTTCTATGCTGAATTTTCACACTGTACTTCTATGTGGCTCTATAACACTAGGCCACAGGAAATCCAGGCAAATAAAATATAGTTGATGCTTGTTTAGTTGATGTAATGTCTTGCTGCTTTCTTTGTTATATGTTTTTGTGTGTAGGTGTATTAAACCTTTCCATATTAGCACTCATATATCTCTCACATCATGTTATTACTAAATAAATATTCACCTTTTGAAAAAAATAAAACATAGTTGAAATTTTATTCTTATTTGGACATCATAACTGAATTTAAACTCCCACAAATGACTAAAATTAAAGCCTGTAGGGAAGTCAGTCAAAATACCAATAAATATAGTATTTATACCATAAATAATAATGTATTAAAATTGTTTATTTTACTCAATATTTGGATCTTTCTTGGAAGTCACAAAGCATGCTGGTGAAATAATTATTATAAAAATGCTCCTAAATTAAGTAAAAAAAGATAGAGAAAGCAAGAGATGTCAATGATCTTGCTGTAAACTATTTTGGGAAGATATTTTGGAAGACGTCTTCCAAATTAAGGACAGGCCAGATATTATGCTCTTTCATTGTCTTAGAAGATCTGAGAGACTAAGTAATCAAAATTGAGCAAAGAAGAAGTGTCTTCAAAATTTTAAACTTCACAAAGAAGTTTACCCAGGTAGAAGGGGACAAGTGCATTGACTGATTTTCCTGAAAAATGACAATGTCTTGACAATGGCTATGAAAGCTTGATGACCCTTAACATCTCATGGAACAAAGGAGTCAGTAAAACAAGGTGAAGATGTTAAAGGGGGAACATAAGAAACAAAAAGAAAGATGTCAAAGTGACAAGTTAAACATAATCCACAGAATAAGAAACGTCAGAAGCCTCCTCCACAGTACACCTACAAACACCTGCCCTTTTGTTAATACATAAAAGAGAGCCTCTCACTGTAACCCCTTCACTTCCTCATGGGGGTAAATCAGATGACTAGGCAGTGTGAGGGTGCCTGGTGGGAGAGATTTTATTGGGCAGCAAACTGGACAATGTATCCGGTAAACTGCATTTTACATTAATCAGTCTTTTGTTTGTTTCTTCCAAATCCTAGATATTCAAGTCTTTCGACTGTACCTCA